TTTTAAATCCCTAGATTTATTTCGCTTTTTTTTACGAATAGCTTTTACGTTGGCTTGCTTCCGCCGTGGCTCGCGGCCAACGCACTTATGATTCCCAATCAGTTCAAGCCGTTGAAATATTCATATATGTAAATATTTTTATCGATGAATATACAGCGAACAACTTTTCCTTTTTTCGCACTCATTCATGCACTCTTCATGCACTCAACAATGCTCGGGGGTGAGAAGAGGCGGCGGCATAGATAAAAGTGTAAATATTTATAGCATTAAATAACGAAAACAAACACCGTTTTTGACATTTTAATTGAATAAAATCGTTTTGTGGTCTTTTAAGGATCATTTCATGGCCAGCAGATGCCTCTGCCATGCGAGAGACCCCCCTCCCCCTCCCACCTCCTCCATCAGCTCGTTGAGTGTTTGTCTGGGGCATCCAAAATGCAAAATGCATTGCATGCAATTGCAGTTCAATTGGTGTTTGTTGTGTTTGTGCAGCAAGTGAAAACAGTGAGAGTATGATGAGGGGGGGTTTGGGAGGACTGGAGGCCCACACGCACACACACGCACACAAGCACAGTAGCCAAAGCCGGCTTTGCACATATGTACATTAGGGTGGACCAAAAAATATAATCTTATGCTTAATTAATTAAATATAAATTTTTAGTTTATTTCTTTGCCCAATAATCTTAAAGTTTCTTTAAAAATTACTCGTGTCGTAAGCCAGTTGGAACTTATGTTGACTTTGTTTTAATAATTGGAAAAAAAATGGTTAGAAACCTTACAAATGTTTGATTTATTAATTGTTTTTGATTGAATTAAACTTTAAATTTAAGATAACCGTACAACCATGCGTATGAGTGATAAACTTTTAAACCAATTCACAAAAACCCTGCATACTTATGTGAGCCTCCTTAATGTACAAACATACTTTCACCATACACATCGATCATGTTCGTACACAAAGAGAAATAGGTCGCTCTTAAACTAATTTTCAGCGACCTCGATTTGACTAATTGGTCCCTAATCAAATTATACTTGAGACGCCATGCCCGACCAACTTATCATTACTTAAATTGGGTAAATTTTAGCTGGTGAAAGCGGTCAATTCTACATTAATGTTTAGATTTAATAGGCCTTAAGGGTTGATCATGTTGCTTCAGATGACCTTTTTTAAAGCACACAGAAAATAAATCTTGATAAGTATATGTTACTAAATAAAACTATTGTTATTTTTGCTCTTAATATTTGTGTAAAATATTAATCGTACAAAATATTCAAGACAAGATTAATAGCTAAATTCAAGTTTATAATTTTAATCAAATTCCTTGCTTTATAAACAAATGTTTTTTCCTGCGAGTGTAGAGTTGTTAGCCCTTTTGAAAAATAAGTGGCAAGACAAAAGGAATTAATTGGGCTCCTTGAGAAGGTCGGGTAACAATGCACCATATTTCTTTTTTTCAGGTGTAATAGTACATAAGGTGAGTGCTGGTTGGGATGTGTTTACCTATGTGCATTTGCGGCTGACGATAACGATGATAGCGATAATGATGATGAGAATGCTTTGCTGCTGATGACGATGATGCATGACCGGCCAAACTAAACAACCAGCTGGCCATAGAAATAACAGCCGGCTCAAGTGACACCCAGCCATCCCAGTTGCACTCCCACTTCTCCACCCACCGATCCACAGAGGCTTCTTTCCCATTTCCCGTTTTGCATTGCCCATCCCTCGCCCACCTGAGTACATATATGTGTTTATCCTTTTTGTCGGCTGATTTGCATTTAATTTCAATGATTTTTTGAGGACTCGAAACCAGCACACACACACACACACACACACACATTCGCCTCCAAAGTAGCTTTTTGTGTGCAGTCAGTCACACTGTCCACCACCCACCGCCCACCGCCTTTTTGCCGCCCACTCGGACTTTTGCCAGTCTGGCCAGACTGTTTTTGTTTTGCTCTGTTTTGTTTCGTGTTCATCGCTTAAGCTGCTTTAAATTTATTGGTTTGCACAGTTTAAGCGATTTTCGTTTTGTATTTTCCATTTGCAGACTCACCATCCCGAAAACCGAATAGCGAATACTGAATGCCGAACTCCAGAACACTACTACGCTCATTCTTTTTCGTCCTCGGTAACCATTACCAATGGATACAACTTGCCAATTATGCTCGTTCTCTGGCCAATGGACTGCCCCCCTCTCCCCTAAAGCCCCTTAAGCCCCCCGCCCCCCTCTAGTGAATATGCAACTGCTCATATTCGTGTGGCATATGCCAATGTCGATTGTTGGCTGTTGTTGTTGGGCACTAACCATCCTACACCATCCAAAAAAAATAAAAAAATAAACCCTGAATACTTTCGGGGCGCTTTAAGCCCCACTCATTTCATGAAGGAAGGAGGCGTAGGGGGGAGGGGCCAACGTCAGTATTGTCGCCAGCGCTAAATGTGGCATTAAAATTTTCGACCAACAAAACTAGTAGAGTCCGCGGTCCAAAAAAGGAGAAGCTACCCAGCTAGAGATGGTCAGCTAGTTTTTTTAACTATAGCAAAAATTGCAAAAAAAACACTTGAATAAAACATATTTGAAATGGAATTTGCTTGTATTTAAATTGAACCTAAACTACAATACCTTAAAGTGAGGTTTGGTTTATACTTTTTATTTCATAAAATAAATAGTGTTGTATTCGAGATCAAGTAATAGAAAACTGTATTATTTATTTTTTTTATTGTGATTTTTCTTAAACAATTTGATTCATATTGTTTTCAAAATCATTTCCGAATTTTGTTTTTTCCCCATTTTTTTTGGACCCCTATTTTAATAGTCTATTGAATAATGTGACACGAAAACATGTTTTTTTTCCACCTCTAGTTGCGACGCACAAATTTGTGAGTGGGTCGGTGGGTGGCAGGCGGGAGGCGGAAGGCCATACACAACTGCTAACTGTAGACTAAAAATATGGCACGCTAGCTTCGCTGCGCTTTTCTGTGTTAGTATGTGTGCGCCGCATTGTTGTAGTTCATATACTTACACAGACATTCACGGGCATAAAGGGTAGCCAGGGTAACTTTTTTTTTACAAAATCTTGGGGGATAATTTTGGCAGCACGGCTGACGGTTTCGAACTCATGTTTAAGTAGTGTAGGTTTTTGGAATCAAAAGGAGAAATATCTAAAAAATCTGTCGTTAAAATATCTATTAAATATGGAAGGTTAAATTATAAAAATCATTAATAAATCGTATAAGTAAGTATTGACAATTAAATATAGATAATAGTCTAAAATTCAGAATTGAAAATATAATTTTTCTCAACTGCAAAGACAACATGAATCATCTGTTTCAATTGCTGACTGTTCGGTATGCTTTGTTCAGTTTTTCCATCAAGGATTTCTTTAAAACCTACCAATCTCGTGTCCTTTGAGCTAGGGTATTAACTGGCTGACCCATCGCTCTTGGTCCTTCTACAGCAGTTGTCGTTGATAGTTTGCCGCGGCTGCTTCCGCACTTAGCAGTACTTTGGACTAATTTTTAATGCCGCTCATATTTCGCGCACAGGAGCAGCCGAAAACCGAAGGACTAACTGTGCATCTGCATGTGAGTGTGAGTGTGATACAGGTGCCGGTAAAAGTAATTGGCCAAAGGAGTGCTATCAAGCAGGGCGGCACGATAGTATTCATCAGCCAGCGATATTTTTTCCAACTTCCTTGTGTCACAGTCAAAATTGGGAAATAAATGAAACAAAAAATAGGGTTGTAGTGTAACTTTTGTTTAGCTCGCATCAAAGGAGCTTTAAAATTGTAGATACCAAATGCTATATTATTATAGTAGTTCTAAAAAATGCGTAAGAGTAACTTTCTTATAGGGGACATTCATAATTTTTCCGTTCTTCATTTTATAAGGAAATATATCATTTTTGAATACTTATTTTTTACCTACTACTTTTACTACTACTTTTAACTACTACTTTTTCCTACTTACCTTTGGTAACCTTTGACATTGAATGAACTAAAATATAATTGTTTCCAAAATGAAATAAAATTTGATTGGAACACCGAAATCATCAGATGATTAAACATCACTGTGGGGACATGATGGAGCATCATTGAAGAGTGATTCCGGAGATCCTTTTCTGGGCGCGGGGATTGGGATTGGGATTCCCCGACTTTGTGGCACTGTGCTGGGCCTTAAACTGCGGCAAGCACTGGGTGAAATCATTTCTGCAGACACTGCGTTGGCGACTTATGCATACATTTGTCTTTTTCAGGGGGGTAAAATTCGGGGCGGAGGACTTTGGCGGCGAAAAAAGACAGCGTTTGTGTTTTGTGCGGCTCCTGTTTTTTTCCCCCCATTTTTTTTGTTTTGTTTGGTTTTTTTCTCTTTTTTTTTTTTGCATTTTGCTGTGGCTGCGGTTGACTCGAGATATTTATTATTGTTGCTGAAATTGCTGTGTATCCTCTCGCCGGCAGCCCCCTTTTCCCTTCTGGGTTGCCCTGGTATTTTGTGCTGCTGCTGCTGCTGCTGGTGACGCATTTAAAGCTTTTGCATCATATAAATAAAAAACTAGCAAAGCGGAACAAGAAACATAAAATGAAGCCGAGGAGCCGAGGCGGCCAGAGGAAGATGTTAAAAAAGACAAAGGCTCCATGGGCGGGGAATGGAAAATGGAATGGGAATCAAAATGAGAAGGGGACTTTAAGCTTCGGCCAGCGTGGCGAAGAAGAGCATCTGTGATGCGCCAATGCTTGATTTATTGGACTCTGGCAACCCTTATCCACCGCCCCCCAACCGCCCAACCGCCCATTTGGCCACGCCTACTTACAGGCGAACAGGGCCCGCATTTATTTTCGTCCCACCTCCGATTCCACCAGAAATAAATAATCCTTTGGCTTGGCTTTTGAATTTATTATGTTTGTTTTTGTTTTGCTCATTCTGTTTTTTTTTTTGGTTTTTTTTGGCTTCCTCATCGATAGTAGGTTTGATTATTATTATTATTATAGATTATCAATTTTTCATAGGTTTTAGTTTGGTATTCGTTTTCGTTTTCGCTTTCATTTTATTTAGTTTTCTTTGTAGCTTGGTATCTCATTATCGTTATCGTTATCGTTATGCACCTGTATATCTCATATTTAGCCTACAGTTAACATTATATATATTTAGTATTATAATGCAATGTGCTTATGATGGCTCTCTCATTCGATTCTCCTCCCATTCGATTCGATTCTCAAGTCTAGACATAAAATAATGATGATGGGAACTTACTTAGGTCACACATTTATGCTATTTTACATTTAATCGAAGACGTTATCGCAGTATTAACAATCGATACTTTCTATATTTTATTTTTACTTTTCACTATAAGTATTATTAGTTTGGTATTAGAGTTGGATTTTTATAGCAGCTTTAGGGTTGACGAGGAAATGTTTCTCATAAATATTATGGGTGACAAAAAAAATCTTCGATAGCTAGTCGTTAATTAATAATTGTATATCTAAGTGTATACTATATATTGTATGTGGGTTTCTTTTTTGTTTTCTTGTTTTTTGCGCAATGCTTTCGCTCGTTAACACGTCTAATTGGAATAACAATTCTCCTGGGCCTCAAAAAAGGATATGCAAACACGCACACATACGCACTCACACACGAACACAAACACAAACACAAACGCAGGCCAGCACACAGATACAGATACTCATACACCTAGAAAACAATTAGCTTGGAAACATTTCTCATTTTTCATTTTTATTTCTCATTTGCCGGAACAAATCGGTTGTTTGGTTTTGTTTCATTTGATTTGCGGCAAATTGTTTGGACAAATTGTTTCAATTTACATTTAATTTTTTGTGTTAGTTCGAATTGCGTTTCGGAGGCTGACTTATAAATATAGTTGGGTTAGTTTTTGGGGGCCTCGCTATAAAATGTACACATGGCAGTTATCTTTGCTCCGCATAGGGGTTACATTTCGGATGATAAGCAAGTTAGTAATTGATAAGAGTTGTCCACCTGTAACCTGTTGATATGTACAGCCTGCAGTGCGGGGAAAAGGGGGCTATTTTTAGCCCATTTTCCATTCTCCATTTGCTCAGATCTGTGAGTTTGTGGCATTGCAAACGTTTTATCACATATTTATCCATATAATAATAGTGTGTTGTGCTCCGTATATAGCGGACTCGTATAGTTTCACTCGATTTATAAAATAAGTACAAATGTTTGTCTGCAGCTATCGTAGATACAAAGATACAAGATACAGTGGCATTAATTGACTAGACTTGCTATGCGCACACACACAGATATGTGCATATATACTTTATCCATCTGGCTAGGTAATGCAGATTATGTCTCTGCCGTTGTTTATTTTCACATATATAGATGTTTGTATAAATTGCATCTTTATTAATTGGCCAATAAATATCCCAGTTATTTATGAACTATCAGCTATGATCAAAAAAAAAAAATGTTATATAGCTATGTCTCATATATATATTCAACTGTCACATATACATATACAAATAGAAGTAAATACACATGCTTAAATACGCTTACATCGGATTTTGTCTATGCCCGCCGTCCATATGTGTTCACTTTATGATTTACACACATTTGACTCGAAATTTGATATAATAATTTAGTGTTCAATCCGCAGTCCGCATTTTGTATTGTGGATTTAGCATTTCGCAATTCGCATTTCGCCGACTGCCGCTACCCGCGTTTCACATTTTAACGCAAACAGAAACGAAATGGCAACAGAAACGTAAAATGTAAAACGTAAACAACTGGCAAACAACTAGTTGGGCCCTCGGGCCCAGGATATGCAGGATGCAGTATCCTGGTTGCAGGATTAGCCTAGGGTTCAGCACTTTTTCGGGAAAGGATGGTAGTAGCGCAGGGTAGTTCCAGTTCGAGCGACATCAACGGCATCAGACTCTCAGATTTCGCATGATGATAGCAAAACTGCAGCGTTTTACATTTGGCAATCTGTAGGACTTTTTCGTTTTTTTTTTTTCACTCTACGTTTGTATATAGTAGATGACAGATACCCTGGCAGTCGGTAATCAGAAGGGGATTCAATGGAGGGGGAAGATGATGCTTGAATTCGGTTCTTGAGATTTAGTCTGCAGTTCTCTGTGGAAGAAATAAAGAAAAAGTCGCATGATCAGCATTTAAGGAGGTATATTTAAGGCAAAAATGATGAAAAATGAAAGGAATTTATGGTATTCAAAAAGAATGCAACAACAAAATTATTCTGATATCATCCTCCACAACAAAATCCTGGTTTAAGGTATATATAACATAAAACCCAAAGCCAAGAGATCTTGAAAAAGATTACGAAAAGTTAAGAACTGAAATCTCAAGTTGGAGGCAAGTTTCTTTATCCCAGACTTTTGGAAAAGCTTAAACTTGAAACTTTAAACTGATTCGAAACGCAAGTTGTCAAGTAATAAACAAACTGCTCGGGCGAAAAACTTGAGAAGCCAGCCCGTTTAGCTCGTTGAATTGGCAGTTCACAGGGTCCCAACTAGTTGAGCTCTTCAAGGGACATTCGCCATTTTTATATGTATGTTGGTTTGGGGATGCCTAACCCCTGAAAGCCCCCTGCCCCCTAAAACACACCCTACATCTCTCTATTTGTCTGTGTGTTTACAACAATAAAACGCTTCGTTGTCATAGCTCAAGCAGATTGATGTTCAACACAGCATTTTCCGACTCTGCGCAAGGACGAAAACGAGGACGAAGACTAGAGAGCGGGGGAGAGAGAGGGGGGGGGGGTTCTCACAGGATGATGACGATGTCATCATCGCAACAAGCAACATTCGAGTGCACTTACATGCCTATCTATCGTATATATCGTATATCTATATGAGCAGATATATCTGTGTGCCATCCTACAATCCCCAGCCTTCGGAATGCCGGGTGTCCTGGATGTCCTGAATGTCCTGGCTGTCCTGGAACTGGTCGAGCAAGTGCAGTGCAAAGTTGCCGCCGCCTTGATTTATGTCCCAGTTGAAGGTCTGTCTCTGGACCAAACGAATTCCCAACCCCCCTGCCTTCTTGCTCCTTGGATTTTCGGGCATGGCAATCTCTCTATGGAGTTTACTTGAATTGTGTACACACTCGCGGCTTGTTTGTGCTTTTGATTTGATTTATATTGCCGACTCAAGAGCATGAAGATGTTGTTGATGTGGATGTGAATCAGAATCAGAATGTGAATGTAAATGTGAGTGCGAGTGGGGGGGAGGCCCAAAGGTCCTGCTTGTGCTCCGGTGATGATGATCTCTGTGAGTGAGATGATCGGGCTGGATTTGTGAAATTTGAAACAGATTCGCAGCGACACAGCTGACAGGCAAAGCACTTAGGCGACGGCCCTACAACCTGGCTCATGTGATTTGCATGTGTCACATCAGGTTGGAATCTCGAATCTCCCAACTCGAATCTCTCAACTCGAATCTCAAAACACGCACCCCGGCCAGCTGAAAAGTTTCTGGCAACTGAGACAAGTCGAGCCTCGGGCATAGGCGATTTTTCAATTAGTTGGTAGTCAGCAGCCTCCAGCTTTTAGCCTCCAGGACTCCACTTTGCTATACTCCCAAAAAAACACACTGACATCTACAAATTTTGTAGGGCTTTAGGGACCTTAGATACTAAGGAACTTGCAGGAGGCAACAGCAACTCAAATCCTACATAATTAAAATACTTAAAGGCTTTAAAGGCAGCAGCCAAAGTTTTTAACTTTTAAATTGTTGAGCCTGGCCCATGTTACCTTCTTCCACTTCCACTTGCAGCCCTTATTGAGTTTCATTGTGGCATACAAAAGGGCGCACATGTGTAGAAATGTTTTATGGGTTAAAAGACGGGGAGGTTAAGAGGGGAGGTTACGAGGGGGTTAAAGGGGGGTTACGAGGAGGTGTGGGCTCAACTCACTAAGCTTACTTAAGCATTTTTGCCTCGGCCTCCTCGTCGGTGTGTCAGTCGCAATCTCAGTCTCCGTTAGCGGCCAAAATCGCGTTGATAAAGTTGTTCCTTTGCTTCCTTTTCGACCTGCTCCTTTGAACTGAACCCCCTAAAAACACCCATCTATGTACCTTCTGCTACCATTTTCGCGTGAACTGTGAGTTATCGAGACTGACAGGCGGCGATGGTGGATGAAGGTAGGGGCATTTGTCTTTCGAACCCCTAAACCCCTTATAAAGCCTGGCCAGAAATTAGCAGAATTGATTAATACGAACGATTTGCACATTTCAACATTTTAGACTTTTCATTTAGCCACGATAATAGACAGTCCTTTGTCCTTTGGTAATTATTACTCCTTCAAATGGTCATCCCTTGGCCCGCATTGCTCATACGCCCGGTGTGCCTGCGCCTGACTGTATGCCCCGTTCGACTCATTACAGACGACGTTAATTGACAGGACACCCACATAGATTTTCATAATTTTTGTTATTAGATAAACACACACGCACACCAAAATTAGCAGCTGTTGGTGAGGGTTTTCGGTTTGGGGTTGGGGTTTCGGGTCATCTGGCTGCATATTTTATTAGGTTTGTGTTTAACCCGAGGTCGTCTCACCCACTTTCCTCCACTAAACCCCCTCCTAAACCAACCAGCAGTTTTAGTAGCCTCATTTCATTCCCCTCCATTGCCAGCTTAACGATTTTGCTTTGTCATTTGGTCGTTTAATTATGTGCATGGAAATTTATGTGCGACTCCTTGACTTTAAATGAAGTGTAAGGACCAATGCCAATCCTTTTTTGCCGCCAGCTGTTGGGCGACTCCCGACTTCCCTGCCACCAACTGCTAAATCGACCCCGACCTTGGACCTAGACTCCGGCTGCGGACCTTACTTTCAGTTATTTATGGTGGCCTCGAGTCTGATAATACACAGAAAAGTGCAGAGAACGAGGCGAAAGGAGGGAAAAAACGGAGCAAAAGGGTGGAGAGTAGGGGAGGAATATCGGTATATAGGCTGATTAAATTTTGTATTAGCTCAATAAATTCTCGGCCAGGCAAATGTGCATAAAAATGCCCTATGACACGCAAATGGACGTCGCTTACTGGCCGTTGTCATATTTCAGGCGCACTCGACCAGAGTCTCGTAGCCATTGTGGTGGGCTTTTAATTTATGTCGCTGGTAATTTGCCAGAGATTTCTGTTTGGAGTGGGTGGCTGTTTGAAGTGGGAAGGGAGTTGCCTATGATGAGTAAGCAATGATTCAGATGGTTCCGAGTCGATTAGACTCCGAAATGTTTGGGAAAACCCAGAAGAGATACGTTAATGGATGGACCTGCTCACACAGAGAAAAAATTTACAAAAGATCAGATTGATATGAGCAGGTTAATTTAATATTTTTTACAGATCATATCATTTTGATATGAGTAAAGATTATTTTCATCTTTTTTAACATTATTTGTTCAAAAAATACTACATTTGGTATGTTAAAGCAGTATTTTTATAACTTTTATGAAATGATAAAATCTCAAGTTGATATGTTTGAATCATAAATTTGACATTAATCATATCGACTTTTTATTGATATGAAGTGCGACTTCCAAACACACTTATATCCAAACTGCTATCTTCATTAATGACGCCAGCTAACCCGCAGCTATTTGACTATCGGTTGGCCGGTAACACTTACTCAGGGATAATCCGCAAAAAACCCTCCTCGGGCGCCATGTTCAGAAATACAAAAATACCTCTCACCCCCATTCTAATCGAGTCTTTTCAATTTGCAACTCTCTCTCTCTCTCAATTGCATTTCACTTTTCACGTTTTTACAGCTCGTCGTCGATGATTTTATTTATCGCCCTTCACTTTCCCATGTTTGCGATGCTCTGGACCTTAACTGAACATTTATCACAGCTCTGCTGGGGTACGGATATGGAATTCGGACTTTGGGCGATGGTATATAGATGGATAGAACGCTGATTCGGGACTCCAATTTAAGCTTCTGAATGGCAAATGGGAATGGGAAATCCGTCGGTGTGGCCACCTAGTCCATGTTGGCCTCGCGTTAATTACGCGACTTTTGCTGCGGTCGCCTATTTGCTGATTGCATGACAGCGTCAACGTTGGCCAAGGCACGCACGACTTGCGCCCTTCTGTGGCTGCCACATGGGGCATCAGCCCCCTCCCCCTTTCACCCCCTTTTACCCCATTTCACCCCCTTTCACCCCCTTTAACACACACACACACACATCCTCCTCATCCGATTCTCAGCCTCGAGCTCAGCTCATCTGCAATGCTCGCATCGCTCGCAGAGCTGAGTTAGTCACGCCAATTTTATTGCATTCCTGTTCCTGTTGCCTTTCCTCTTCCACTTCCCCTTCCACTTCCTGTTTCTGCCGTAGGCGTTTGCCAAAGGGGGCGTGGTCACGGCCATTCACGACTATCAGTCGCAACAATAGCGTTGGCAGTTTTCGGATTTCAAGCGGAACAATTAAGTTAACGATCTGCGGACGAGTGCCAAAGCGCCAAAGAGCAGAGTGCGCCTACAACAGAGGGTCCTGGATTCGAGGACCAAGGAGGATACCCCCAAGGGGGCGTGGCTGGGAACGTGTTGAGCCGGCCACATTGGCGACCATCGCACGTCCATGTCGCCTTTTGCGACTTTAAGTCTTTAAGTGGACCCAAATGGCCACATCCTGTCCGCCGGCGATGGGTTGTCCTTCAATTAGCAAAAAAAAAAAAAACAAAAAAAAAGGAAGTAAAAAGAAAACTGATTAAGTGAATAGGCCATCTAATGTGGCCAGCAAGGAGGGCCATGCAAATGCAAACAGAACGGACTTGGCTCACTCTCAAGTGCACACAAAAAATGTCCTTTCCTTTGCCTATCCTTCCCTTTTATTCCTCTTCCTTGTTGAACTCTTTAGCCCCGCTTTTGATTCTGTTTCTGATTCGGCATCGGGGAAGGACTTAAAAGTAAACAAAGTTTTAATTTCCTTCAATGATTTCTCTGGGCATTTGTTTTAGGCCTCTCCCCTTTCGAGGACCAGGACTCTGGACCAGGCCTCATAATCAAGTTAGATAAATCTAAATCCTTTGCGATAAGCGGCTGAGGAATAGCCTCTCCGTCTCCATCTCCATCTCCATCAAAGTTGCTCCGTCTGCTCTTGGCTGCAAGGCTAAATGGGTTAGGCGATTGGGTGGTGGCTACAACCCGGGGGCTACGACTTTGGGGCACCCTGCCACACAGCTACGAATTAGAGTGCCACAGTCGGGCGAGTGAATAGAATTTGTAATTTCCGTTCTCGTTTTGTATGCTAACCCGGACCAGCCACCCTGCAGCAAACTCTTAAAGCGCTCCACAATGAAACTGTATCCGAGAACTGATGTTGGCTGCACTGCAGCAAGGTTCTGTGTTCTGCGTTCCGAGTTCTGCGTTCTGAGTTCTGGTTACTGGGCTCCCCGAGTTCCCCGAGTTCTGTGCCTTTCAAGCCGTTTTCAATTGGTTTCGGGGGGTGCCAGCGGATTTCGATTGGATTGGGGCTGCGTGGCATACTTATGACGATGACTAAACACTCTGCTGGCCATGTTTGCGATTGCATTTAAAGATGAGGGGCCATTGAAACCGCTTTTCCATTTGCCGGCCAGTTAAAAGGGGGAATGGAAAATGGGCTGTCCGAATTTTGTGGCTCTCTGGGATTCGGGGACTAAAGCGGAAGAACTAAACAGGTGTTGCTTCACTTACTCACTTCCTACTTACTGGTCTAATATAATTTTACATTACTGGCTTATTCAGAATACACTTAAATCTGTTGGTTGAACTTAACCGGCTCATACAAATATTTTTAAGTTGAAGAACAATTAAGGATTATATCAAATTGATATTTTCTACGCTGAAACAACGTTGGAAAAATGTATTTGTACATCTGTATATTTAATCAACATATTTGAATTAAATATAGTAATGTAATTTTTAATGCAAAAACTAATTAAACTGTTAGATTGCATTTTATAATACCTTAGTCAAATAAAATGTTAGATATGATGTTATTCCTATCTATGTACTTTAAATATTTTAAGTAAATAAATCAATTTAAAAATGTAATACTTTCATATTCATGTTAAAAAAAACCTCATTAGATAAAAACCAAAGCAAAGAATATTAAAATTAAATCAGGCAAATGCAATTTAATTTTATTATATTTGCAGATAATAATTTTCATTTTGGCATTGTTTTTCCACTGAAGTCAAATTTAGTTTAACACTGCTCTTAATGCTTTGCGACTACTTTTAAATAAAGCGACAACTACTGGTTAACCATATCCGGCTCGAAGGACCATTGAGCAGAAGTATTCTGGTTTCAGGTCGATAAAGATGTGTTAAATAATGCAATAATAAGTTAATTTAAATTAAGATTTAACTTAATTTACAATTTACCTCTGGTAATCGTTGCAGGAGACCTCCGCCTAGTTGCCCTTCCGCCGTTTCCGCCGCCTCCGCCAAGCCACGTGACCCAGTAGCTGGGCCAGCCGGTTGGCCAGCAGGCGGACGTGGCGCCACTCCGCACAGCTGGCCACCGCGATGAGCAGCATCGAGTTGATGCCGAGGGCCAGCGAGGCCGCCGAGCTGCCCAGATTGCCCTTGGTCAGCTGATCGGAGCAGCGGCCAATGGAGTCGATGTCCAGCTCGCTCATCACCCGCCCGTTGACCTCCAGCGGCGATATGCAGTAGTTCTTCTGCAGGAAGTCGCTCAGATTGTGGGCGCCCTCGGCCAGCGGACCATCGAGCAGGGTGTGGATGTGGCAGCCGCAGGGAAAGTGGTTGCTCACCAGCTGCAGATGCTCCACCCCGTCGACGATGATAGCATTCGGATCGGGCGTCTCCAGGACATGATTGCCGAAGAACTTCAAGTGCTTGATGGCCGCCGTGCTGGTGAAGTTCAGCTCCTCGATCGAGTCGATTTTGTTGTTCAGTATCTGCAGCGTTTCCACCTGCGAGAGGCCGGTGAAGGCGTCGGCACAGATCACACCGAGATCCGATTCCTGCAGGGTGAGCAGCAGGACATTGGAGAGGCCGCGAAAGGTGAACGGAGCCACCTCCTTGAGGTCCATGTAGGCCAGCTTCAGCAGGCCCACCGTGTCCATGCCGGCGAAGGCGTCCTGCTCGATGCTCCGGATGCCCGAGGGCAATATCAAATGGCCCACGTTCGTCAGGCTGGCGAAGGCCGAGCTGTCGATGCGAATGAGCGGATTGTTGGTCAACAGGATGAGCTTGATGTTCGAGGTGCCCGCGAAGGCGTTGCCCTCAATCCTTTGGATCTGGTTGTGGCTCAGCAGGATGGTGGAGAGATTCTGCAGGCCCGCGAACGCGAACTGGGCGACCATTTGCAGCGGCGTGTACTGGATGGAGAGCTCCTTGAGGCGCGGCAGGCCGCGGAAGGCGAACTGCTTGATCCGCGTGATGTTGTTACCGTCCAGCGAGAGCTTCTTCAGCGCCCGCAGGCCGGCGAACGAGTCCGGCTTGATGATCGGGAAGTTGTTCTTGGTCAGCGCCAGGTTCTCCACCGTCGCCGGCAGCTGCCGCAGTGGGATCTGCTCGAGGCCGCCCGTGTTACACAGCACCTGTGGACGAATTAAAAAAGAGGGTTCTTAATTTAATGGGTCTAGATCGTCAGATTTTTTGGCATTAGCTTCATAGTCACTCAAAAAATTGTTAGTCTCTAATTTTAAGAAGAGAGAAGGCGATAAGAAGGTGCGAGAGCGATGGAGATAAGCATTCAGCAAAGCGACTGCTTGCACTGCTTGAATTTCACTATTTGATTTGTTCATAACTTTTTAATTAACGTTCCGATTTGAAAAATTTCTTCTACACTTCGATAGGTATTAAAGACAACAAAAAAGTTGCATTTACACTTTTTCGAAATCTGTAAAGATGTGGACGACAGAAACAAACAAACTTGCGCTACGTAGGAAGCCCAATAATCGCTCTAAATTAATACCTTTGAATGATACGATTTTCGGTATGCAGTTATTTGAATTCACACTGAAACACAATCTTTAAAAATGTATGCGACAGAAAGTTTCAAGGAATATGGGGTAGGAAAAGCTTAAAAAATCGTTAAAATTAAAATTACCACTTATGAAAATCAAATTCCGTCTAAACCTAAGGCAAGTAAGTAAGGACATTGGATTTCGCAAATAATTTCTAGTCCCAAAAGTTGAAATCAGAAATGTTCGATGTGATCGACAATGGTTGGCCAACTCGTTAAAAGGTGTCTCCTTTGATTAGATTACTCGTTGGCCAGGCAAAAATGCCCCAGCTACATTGTGTGGGTCACCTTTTGATGTTACACCTATTCAACCGCCAGGAGTTGAAGGCCCCGCCCTCCGCCCCCCGCAGGTTGGTGGGTTGTTGGCTTTGTCGGCGGACTCATCGACTCATCAAAGGTTTTCGCTCTTAATCAGTTTGTGTTTTCTTGCTTTATAACATTTCCCCGCCCGCTTTTCCCGTGGGCGCCATTGATACCTCCGCCGTAGCCGCCATGGCAACTGACAGCCGTTGGGCAATCAGATCAGACGACGCCACATCGGATGGGCCTTGAGATGCCATGGAGGCAAAGGGAGAGTCGAAGGACCAAGGACGAAGGACGAAGGACCATGGAGCGGGACTTTGTTTGATGCGTGGCGCGAAAATTGAATTTGTGGCTTTATTGCTGAAAATAAAATTAAATCGAATTCTTGTTTTTGGCGGCGGAGCGAGTCCGTGGTTACTTGACTAGAGACCCTCGTCTAGCATTGTTTTTCGCACATCCTTCGCCTTTGCCTTCGCCTTTGGTCATTCTGCTTTGTGCCTTGATTTTTTATATATTTTATGTGCTGATGTGTGCGCTTTCCTGCCAAGAATTTTCTTCGTTTGCACTTTGAGAAAAATTCATAGTCTAATTTTGGTTTAAATTGGGAAAAAAACTATGGGAAAATAGCTTTAAAAATTAAATTAAACTATTTAAAGTTTTCATGGTTATATATATTATTGCTTAATTAGCTAGATTGCATCTATGCCAGCTTTAGGTTGATTTTGATTTAAATTCTGCTTTGATTTAATTTAGACTCTGGATTAAAATGGATTTCATATTCAATTATTAAAAATATGCAACTTTCGGCAATCGATTCCGAAGCTAATATGTTAAAATTTATTATAGCTTTGTAATATAGCTAATTTAAAATATTAAAAATAAAAGTATTTCGGCTTTCTGCGTTACAAATAAATTTTTAAAATACTCTGAGTAAAATCAATTTCCGAGTGTATGTTTTTGAGGCTACAGGTTTCCCTTCCGGTCGCCCAGTAGCTGTGCATAACTGTCCATCGCCTGTCACGTTCCTCTTGACCCCCCGCCCACAGTCCAGTTTCATTTCTTCTTCTTCCTGCCATGCCTCCCCCGCCCCTTGAACATCCACCCACCACCCCCACCGAACCTTGGCTGCACTTCTTGCGTAACATTTGCACAATTTTCATACGCTTCACCTTTTTAAATGAACGAATTAAAAGTTTTCCTTCCTTGGCTCTCCACTTCTTTGGCAGAGGTAGGTCCTTTCCCTTTCCTTTCCCGCCCGAAAGAAATCCTGTAGTAACCCCGTCCCCCAGAATTGTTATTTTTGCCTCAGTTCCGTTACGTTCTGTTCTGTTTCGGTTCTGTTCTGTTCCGTTTAATGAAATTTCGTTTCTATGCATTCAGAGTTGCGAATTCAAGCGACACGGTTAAAAAGTCCCTTGTTCGCTGAACTTTAACTGGCACTGTCGGTGGAAAAGAATAAGGATGGGGATGGGGATGGGTGGGTAGCCTGACCCCAAAAAGTGTGCTTCACTTTTGTTACCTTTTTTTTTCGGGGCCCGAACTAATTTCGCCTCTTCAATACAGTTAACCGTAGCGCGAAAAGGATACAGGCACCCGGTCCAAAAATGGAGCAACCGAAAAATAAAGAAGATGCGGCCAGAGCTCTTCAAGTGGAGAATACGGCGGATGGAGAACGGCGAATAAGTGGAGGACGAGAGCTGAGTAAATCATTGCATTGTCTATAATCCGGAATAATGAAATCACTTAAGTTCTCAATTTGGTAGAAATGACGATGCCAAGTTCCCTCTGGTAATAAGGATGCGCATTAAGCGTGCTCCAAAACTCTCGCGGGACACCATTGAATACGGCCACACACAAAAATGTGGGGGGAGAAAGGAGCCAGGAGCAAGGAGCAAGGAGCTCAGACAGAACAGAACTAAAGAGAAGAACAGACGCAGAAACAAAAGGAAAATAACCATTTCCCTGCATTTTCGATTAATTTTCTTTGCTCATCACTGTGCCGAAGAGGCCGACGAGCAGCTGTGGCCACTGCCTGACCACCAGTTCCCCAGAGATCCTCTCCAGCATCTCCTGCATCTGTTACTCCCCCTTTGCTCCCTGCTCCCTGCTCCTTCTTGCTCCTTGACCACTTCTCGAGCTCCTGATGATGATTCTGCATACAACTCGACCGCACTGTGGAGCCGAGTGCCTGACCATCTTTCGTCCAACTTCAAATGGTAAATCTCAAAACTAAGGCTGCACTTGTGTTTAAGCTCGCTTAAATATTAAGTGCTTCGGTTTTTCGCTAGCCAAAAACGTAATATACCACCCTTTAATTAGCCTTACTACACTGCCTTACAAAATAAGGCAAGAAAGGAACTTAACTTTTGTTAACCGAAGCATTTGTACCCGTTACCCTCGGAGTAGAAAGACCTCATCTGGCGCCAAATTATTACAGATTTTGTAAAAGCGTAAATGCTATTTATGGTGTTCATTATTTCCTATCGAAATGGTAAAGAAAATTTTAAATTGGACCATCCGGATGGATGCATCCATTTAAAAGTTTTGAGCAAATAATGCATTTTCCGATAGGTGGCGCCACATTCAAGCGACTACTTATATACTACTTCTTTTTGGATAGATCGAAATAATGCGAGAGAGAGCAATAGCTCAAATGCAACGAAATTGTCACCATACTTTTTTTTATCGCTATTGGATAGTATGGTCAGATCCTAGAATTTCCTACCCGCACTGAAAATAAAACTACGATAAAATGGAAATTTCCCTACCTATTTTTTGCACAGCTCTGCGAAAAATGTAATTAAATTCTTTTTGCTTCGTGCAAGCGAATGCTTTTTATACCGACTACCGGAAAATATTTTCTCTGCAATACTGAAATAACACTTGCTTATTGGCCATATTCAAAGTAAAAAACTTGCAACTAACAACATAAAACATGGTGAAATTTGATAGTGCTAACAATATGTTAAGCTAATGGAAATGTGAATTGTTTTTCAAATTGACTACGTTATGGATAATGATACAAAATTACATGGTTGTAGGTACTTAAACGTTTTAATTAGGTACCATTTATTTATTCAATTAAATATTTTTAATTACTAAGGTAAGCTAAGTAGTAGCTTTAAATCTAAGAGATTGGTTCTTATGAAAACGGACGGACTTTAAAGAGTGGGATATATGATATAAGTAAAAATATAATAGATATGTTCAAGAAATTTCAGCTACCGATCGACGTAATTTATACAAATAAAAGGCTATTTGCTGATTTTTCAGGCAAATGGATTTCTTGTTGATATCTAAGGCCTAGAAATGGAATAGTTTCTAAAAAATATAGATAGGTACGTAATCGAGGCCCACTGTACCACCCTTCTCCAAAACCCCGACAAGTCCCCGTAATTCCCGGGACTTGGTGCCATGGCCCCAGTACAAGTACAAGTAGATTGTTAAGCTTACTTGAGTCTGGGACAAGCAGATGCACTCGGCTGGGCATGATTTGGATGTTTCGGTTTGTTGCGAGTTCCACAGGCAGACGACAACGGAGAGCGCAATTATGAGCACCAGCCAGGAATTGCACATTTCACGTTGTTGCTGACACGACAGTTTGGCGGCGTAATTGAGCTCTATTCTCTCTTGTCCGGCTGCTCTTTCTCCGGGTCGAAGTCCGGGTCCTTGGTGAATCTCCTTCTGCCTTTGATGCTCCTTCTTATCCTGGCGAGGAGCTCCTTTGGATGGAAAGGATGGGGGCGAAATGGTGGAAATGATGCCTCACCTTTTTCTATCGCCTGCCAGCTTCACTGATTTTTTGTTGCCTACTTTTTGGGGCTCCTCTTCGCTGGCCTCTTCTTCTTCTTCTTCTTGGGCTCTTTCCTTAGTTATTTATGTTTTTCTATTGCGTTATTTCATTTAAACTTTCCTTCCTCTTCGGCCGCTGTCTTCTCCCCTTTATTATATATTCTTAAGCTTTATCATATTTATTTACGCTTCTTCTTCCGGTTCCAGCTCCTGCTCCTCCTGTTCCTGTTCCAGCCCCTTTTTGCTACGCCTTGCGGGGGCGTGGCATGCCAATAGCTGCAAGAGAGAGAAGAGGAGAGATATATATCGAGTGGGTGGAACAGGGAAGGGAATAGAGTTCGAGTTTGCAGTTTCAATGTCCAAAGGCCGAGAGTGAAGCAATGCGACACTTAAAAGTTATGACTTACTCGAACTAAATAGAAATACAATGCTCTTGGACTTTGCAATATATATAAGCCTGCTCATGTATGTATAGTATATAGTATATAGGCTGTGAAATGCACCACCAAAATATTAAAACATAAGCTTCGTTAATTTATATAAAACCGGATTGAGGCGAACCAATCATTCCTTTGACTGCGCATTAAACGTGATAGATCCTCGCCAAAAATCGTCCACAATGTCAATTTAAGTTATCATAAATGTACAGCTGAATAATATTATAATACAAATCTTTGGGGACGTTTTCTAGACCACAAGTTAAATTTAAAGTAGGATTTAAGCCTTGGAAAAATATGGGATTGTAGAGTTGAGAGCGTAATTTAATAATGAGAAATCGACCTATTTATCTTGCTATTAATAAACTGATAAATGTTAGATTATTACTAAAGATTAATTTGAAAAAAGTAAATGGTGGATTGAATTAACTTGATTTTACCTAAAGGCTTTATTTGGATAGGATAAAAAAAAAGTTTTGTTAGCTAGTTAAATTCAGTTTCAAACCTTAAGCTTTTTTTGACTTTTCCAGTTGTCTATATAGCTATTTATATATTTACAACTATAATTTAAACGTTTAAGAATCTATCAAGAGTCCAAACTAGTAAAGCTACATCATATATGATTGGAACTGATTTTCCGGTATGTCACCACAATCAGTTTTAAATAAATTACGATAAAATTCACTTATGTTGAACTATTTATTTCAGTGCATCTGTATCTGTGGCCATTATCCCCCGACCGAGGCTTCACTGTGGACATGCCGCAGGTGGCATTAAATTTCGCTTCTCTGCTGGTCGGCCTGTGGCAGGCTCAGCCTTTCCGGCCTTGTCCGCTCAAAGCCTTCGACACATGCAACATTTATGGCCCGGATTAGAAGACATCTGGAAAGAGGCTGCAGGAGGAGGGGGAGAGACGAGGTGACAGGACAAGCGGCAGGACAAATGCCAGATGTGACAGCCGAGATGGAAGCCCAGCCTCAGGATCTAAGCAGATGCAGATAGAGATGCGGCTAGTGGATGCAGCTTGTGGATGCAAACGTTCGATGCCTCGATTTGAGCCAGCTCCACTGGCGGCCAAGCTGCTTGTTAATCATTTATAATAAATAATGCCCAGGTAGGAGTTAAGTTGCTGCAGCATCAGCAGCAGCAGCAGCGGCATCAAGAGGAAGAGCAAGGATGAACAAAGCCAAAGCAATATAATAACTGAAATTACTCTAAAGAGAATTTCCAATGAGGCAATGTCGCTTGCACTTGCCACTGCCACTTGGAAACGGGTGATGGTGATGGGTGGTGGGGTTGACACAGCTTGTTTGAAATGTTTAAATGCACAAATCAAATATGCAAGCAGTCCAAACTCCGAACCCGAATGGCCAGCAGAGCACAGCACCTGATGTTAGGGGAGTTAACCCCTCTTAACCCCTCGGAGCCCCTCTGAACCCCTCGGAACCCCCCTGAACCCCACTGAACCTCCCCGAAACGACCCGTGTCCAAATCCTTGCAGCAGCATCGGCTTTTAATTGGACACCGAGGATGGCAAAAAGGAGCTGGCAGGCAGCAGCAGCAAGACATCTGAGGATTTGAGCCTTGGCTTCGGAATACGGAATACAGGACTCCAGGACTCCGGGACTCCGGGACTCGAGGGGCAAAGGAGCCAAGCGGGGGCAGCATCAGCACAATAATAAATAAGCGCAGGCATAAATGCGTGACATTATAATTGAAAACCAACAAAGCAGGTCAAGCAAAAGGCGCTGGCAAAGATGGTGTTTCTGTTTCTGCTTCTCAGATGCCTAATGTAATTCACAGATGCATTTGCTTGCAATTTTGGCAAGCTTCTTTTAACTAAGACTCATTGAGATGAGAGAGAGAAATGCAATGCTCAAATTAATTATGAAAAGGCCTTGTGCGCACCTACCAATTAAAAGGGGTAAATAAAATATTATCAAATAATTATTGAAAGAAGTTGTTGGCCCAACAATAAACCTAAATTAAATCGCATTATAGGGTAAAAAGGTTGTATAATGTTATTGTATACTATTTTAGATTGCTAATAATTCAATAAAGACAATAAAAATATCCCATCTCAAATAAAATCTAAACGTAAGCAAAATGTAAAAGTGTAAATGTAAATTTAAAACGTAGCTTGGGGCAACAGCAGCAAAAGCTACAATTTAATAGACAATTTATAATTACCTCATCAACAATAAGAAAAATAAAAAAAAATAATATAAAAATAAATAAATAAATCTAAAGAAATAATTTAAAAAAATATAAAAATAAATAATAGATTGATAAATTCTACTATAAGTGTTAAATTTGCTTTTTTGGTAAGCCCTGCTTTTAGTTGAATATAAATATGATTAACAAATATATTTTGAAAATGCATCCATTTAACATTTAAGAATAAGTAAAATATTCCAAAGTGGCATTTGATTGTCACGTAACAAATCCTGTTTGCTTTTCAAGGGAACTTCTTTAGTTTGGTTATGGTTACCATTGCATTTGGAAATAAAAAAATCGACTTTTTCGGTTGGAAAAAGGAGGGAAGATCTTTGACTGTCTCAACTAGATGACTTTTCAGAGCTTTGCCTATTGTAAAAATCGCACAGGAATGGCGGGGATTTGTTTGCCACTTGCTGGCGATAAATACATACATTTTTTACCAGATTCCTGGCTACCTTTTCGGCAAGTGCAGGAAGGTGGCAGAGTGCAGTTGTCAGTTGGAAAAGGATTCGCGACTCTGTCTCTGTTCCTCTCTCTATCTCTATCTCTTTCGCTATCTCCGTCTCCGTCTCGCTCGCTTTGTCTGAATCTATTCCCGTCCCATGCAATCGCATTACTTTGCGTTGCCTTCATCTAAAAGGATAAAGCAAAATAACAAATGCCAGCACAAACTCAAATAATGTACAGACAATTGTGTAAGCAGCCGGCAGGAGGAGTCCTGCCAGGACTAGGACTCCATCGTAAGTGAGCTCAGCTATTCACGTGTGTGTGTTACCGTGTGTGTGTGTGTGGAATCAGGACAATGGCAAAAGGAATCGCAAATGTGGCAGAAGGAACCGACGAGCTCAGCATGTGAGTCTGCGATATGGCTTAGCATCCACTTGAAACGGGAATCAAGCCGGGCATCAATGCCTTTAAATAAGCATGTGGAATATGCGGCCAACAGGACCTTCTCGTCCTTCTCCTCCTCTCTTGATCCTTTGGAGTCCTTGCCCACCGATGACGACATCGTCTGCCATTTGCAGCTAATCAATCAATTTTATTAGCCATTTTATTTAATTTACACAGAGGCCCAGACAGAAAGATTTACTCTTACTATTTTAGGAGTTTTTAAAGCTGCTGCTATCTATATGTTTTCTAAGAAGATATTTGTAGCCGAGATTTTTAATATGATTTAAGATAGTTAAAGTTCCAGGTATAATAATAAAATAAATTATTTAAAGAAAAATCCATTATAATAATATGATTCGTTTATCTCAGATTATCAGATTATCTAAATACATCTATAGTTACTTAAATTAAATCCGTTTTTGTGAAACGCAAATGTTATTTAAAAATAAGATATGTAACATATATTTTTGTAGCGATAAACTTTGCCAAAACAGTTCAACCATTATAAAATTGGATTGACAAGAAAACATAGACAGAGGAGTAAATCAATTTGGATGGATGCTGCGATTAGTGGACGGGTCGAGTTCGAATTCGAATGCTGGTTATTAAAAATCAAAAACTAAATCCGCAAATTGAAATCAAAACGAAAGCAATCAGTGCAGCTGGCCCCTGAATGAATGCAAACATATGCCAATAAATAAACCAAAGATGAAAATCAAAATCAAAATCAAAATTTCCAAATAAATAAATAAAATTTCAATTTACACTCTCCTTAAATTTCCCCACCCCTTGGGTGTTGCAGCTTCCATTTTCCATTTTCCAACTGACTCTTAACTGCCGACGTTCAAACGGTTTTCTTTTGGCCAACCCAGCAGTAACGGATTATTTCGGGGTAAACTACTGCGATAACCAACTGCCAAATGCCAGGAAGGTGGAATTCTGTTCTTTTTCTTTTCTTTTTTGGGAGAAAACTTTGCCTTGTAATATTCATAGGCCACAATTCTAATTACGCTAGTTGCATTCGAATGTTTGAAGTTTACACCAGTTAACAAACTGAAATGAAGAAAGCTCCGGAATAAATACTATTATGATTTCTCCTATTTTACTATTTTACTGATTTACAATTGGTTGTTTAAATATAAATTTCGTTGTTTCCTTCCTTACAATATGGCTTATTTTCAGCATAAAGGAACCGTATTGATTATGTGAAATAGCATTTACTTAAGTGTGAACGAATAGCATTCTGAGCCAAGTTAAGCTTAAACATACATTTGCAAGACGTGGAGAAATAGTTTGAAAAGCAATAAGTTGTGCTTGGTTTTTGGTTGCCCTTTCAGTCATGACCCGACAACAAAATGTGTAAGCTGTTTTAAAGTCCAGCCATGACTTCAGTATTTTGTACAAATAAGCATTTCTTAAAGAATGTCAAATTAATAGTTATAAAATAGAAAAGGAATTGAAGGAACTGATTGGTAGTTTCAGTGTATTTCTAAATTCATTATTTCATTATTTCCAAAATCAAGAAGAATTGCTCTTGATACACGATACTCAACTAAATAAGTGTAAGAGAGATGGAAATATGCAAGCGGCAAAGCAAGCAGTTGCTTCAAGTGGCGCCATCTACCAAAAAATTCTTTATTTTGCTTATAACTTTTTAATAAGACTACCGATTTTAGAAATTTCTTTAACATTGCATAGGTATTGATAAACCAAACATTTTTACAAAAT